TCTCATATTTCGATTCTATATACATTTTCGGAAATATTATTTTTCTACTGACATTTCATAATACGCTATTAAACGATTAAAATCTGTATCATAATGAACTTCATTACGATACAGATTTTCATTATAATACTCATTTTTAATATTATACAATGTTGATAGATGGCAGCACTAGTTAGGATATTAAACATTTTAAACGGTGATTTTGCGTAAAACAATTATTTTGATAACTATAAAAAAGAATCCGAATTGTTTAAAAGTTACCTTAAGTTTGGAACAAAGAATAATTATTATGGAAATCATAAATGATAAGGAAGAATTTTTACTTTCTTCATTATTATACATTGTCAATAGATGGCGCCACCAGTTAAAAAAATTTGATTTTTTTTTTTTGAATGTTGACAGCACTCTGTTTATAGCTTTTCCATGGTAATTTAATGAAAAACAATAATTTTATAAAAAAAATACTTCAAATTGTTATTAAAAGTTAATACCTAAAGTTTGGGAGAAGGCATTATTATGGAAACATTGAGCGATAACGAAGAATTTTCACTAACACCTCCAGAAATTACAGAAAGGGTGACAAATGCAGTTAATAATATACTACCGGACAAGTCCAAGAAAATTTACGAAAAATTATATGGACAATTTATGGATTGGAGAAACACCAAAAATACATCATCCTTCTCAGAAAATGTTTTGATAGTATATTTTGAAGAGTTACAACAAAAAATGAAACCTTCAACTGTATGGACGCATTACTCAATTATAAAATCCCAATTCAAAGTTAAGCATAATGTTGACATATCTAAATATCATCAAGTTTTATCAATGGCAGTAGAAAAAATAGTGTATGCAACTCTCATGTAATGGCCATTAATACATTCGCATGTTATATACGAAACTCGCCTGCGGCTCGTTTCGTATCCTACAACATGCTCGTGTATTAATGGCTATCATTACATGATCATTGCATAATATACTATTATTTGTTCGAATTTGTTGATATCTTTCAATTTAATTGGAAAATCTATATCCAATATGTGTGGGCATCCTGGTTGTGGGAAACATTGCTGAAACTATTGCTCACGCAAAGCAGCGCTGATGTTCATTTATGACATTGTTTACAGCTTTTCTGGATTCCATAAATTTCGGCAACTCATGTATGATGAGCCGCTCACCGGGTTGTATGTATTTATTAATATTGACTTCCACATAAAGAATCTTCTAAGAGTGTCCACCCTAACAAATAAAAATGAATTCTTTAGTAAAATAGTGTAAGTGAGTATTATTTTCAACATACTTACCTGAATCTTTTTCTTGAAATTCTGCTGATTCACTCTTCATTGCATCGACAAATAATTCGTCAAGACTATCTGAACCACTCCCCATAATAAATTGATTCGATGTATTGAACGATTTATCACTATGCGTCTTTTTAGATGGTAGAATATATTGGCGCGCAACCAACATTAGATCCAATATTTTTGACTTAACTGCCTGAAAAAATACTGAATAGTGAACATGGTGATCATCACTACTTATCCGATAAGTAACAATTATTCTTTTTAAAGTACTGCTTATAATTGCAACACCTACCGACAATGGAGAGCATGAATTACTACGATGCTGTAGCGTTCTTTGATGACCTGCCATAGGATTTGTAGGTAAGTATATTGCAGGAAACACCATGTTTGTTTGCAAATTTGAAGTTGATGCACCTTGTGAAGAAGATGGGTTAGGACAGTCATCCTTTTTCGCTTATTTCCATTAATTTTATTATTGGGTCTTTGTTTACATGCTCGTTGGTGGCAAAGCATAGGTAATATAACTTCGGGTGAAAGATGAGTCACAAAATTCACATTTATAGGTAGGTATTCATGGTTACACACGTGATAATTTGAAGTATGGTATCTCAAAGCTAACTACACGCAGAACTAACTTCACAAAACTAAAATCAGAAAACACTGCTCCTACCCAGAGCTTGGAATGAAAATGTCCTGTTCACTCCCCTGCTCAACGTTTTCTCAAGGCCAACGCAATTACGTTACCTATCAAGGACTTGTGCAACAAAAGGTTCGTTTTTTTTTTTTGTACCGCCTGAACTAAACTTTCAAGTGGTGCGAGAACAGATTTATGCCACCCACCTGCTCCTTTGTGAAATAGAATGGCACCTGATTCACAAGGCCAAATGACATCAAAAGAGACGGCATTCTTTTATTAAAAATTTCTCTGCAAAATAGAGTAACATCTGGTTGCAAGGACAAGAAAAAGACGGCTTTCTATTGTTGATGTTTTCTTTGCTAAATAGAGTAGGTACCTACCACCTGAACTAAACTTTCAAGTGGTGCGAAAACGGATTTATGCCACCCACCTAAAATAGAGTAACACCTGACTCACAAGGCCAAATGACATCAAAAGAGGCGGCCTTCTTTTATTTAAATTTTCTCTTCAAAATAGAGTAGCACATGGTTCCAGAGACAAGTAAGAGACGGATTTCTATTGTTGAAGTTTTCTTTGCTAAATAGAGTAACACCGGAATGAAGCTTTCAAGGAATGCGAATACAAAATCTACACCAATCCACCGGATTTTGTCGCCAAAGAGACGGCTCTCTTTTTTGGAATTTTTGCTTTGTTGAATAGAGCTTTGTTGGATTTCCTTGTTGCCAAGTTTGCGGAGCTTATTTCAAGGTTAGCAGAGCACCTGCTTTGTCTACATAAGAGATGGATTTCTTTGTTAAATTGTGTGACGTGACACATAGGCGCCGGAACCATGGGGGCAATGGGGCAGTGGCGACGCCTGGGTGTTTTTACTTTATTGCTTTGCTCCAAGACCCTATTTAGATCAATTAATATCAAAAAAGCTATACGTGGTAATAAAGAGCAGAGGAGTAGGTATAGATAATAAACAATAACTTTAATTACTCATATTAAAACGTTACAAAAAAAAAGCATTCTTTCTTCATTGGAATAAAAAATGGGTACCTGCCCTACGACACTATAGATATTTATGTACTAAGGGCGCAGTTTGGGTGTTTGCGGCTCGCCACGTGGAAATTCGAGCACAAGGCGCACAGGACACGACGCCTCAAACACCATTTTTTGCGCCTGTGGTACATATAATAATAATGTATTGTTTTATGTACGACCGCGAGTAATTATGTATCGCAAATATTATTTTATTTTTAATAAAATTATAAATAGATAATGAATACACTCATCCTTCAAAGTCAAATAATAAACAAAAATGGAGGTTATAATTCAAAATTACCAATAAAAAGCTACAGTAACCAACCAAACAAACATCAAATTTATTCATTTTGGTTCGTTCTTGAAGGGTAAAAATAACCGATTTTTACCAATATTCGTTCAATTTTTGACACCTACGTTACCTACACCATGATGGACTTTGCGGCCCTGCAAATAAGGGTGCAAATAGGTGCAATGCGGCCCGGTCATACATAAGAATGTTTAGGGGCATCCCAGAAAAGTGAAAGCAGCGTTGCGGTTGCCTGTGCCCACCGAATAGCGAATTAACCGGCAGATGCTGCCGATGTTGTAGCTGGCTAAGCAGACGTAGGCTACCGTTACCACTACTCGCTGAAATCTTGGGTCATTTAGGGCGGGTATTATAAAACTATTTTGACAAATAACTAAAAGTCAACTTGGAATTAATATGAAATTTTTCATATCATATTTTTGATGTAAACTTTTTTTATGCGACTTTTGGCAGGGGGGTGCCGGTTAAATTACAGGTGGGGCCCCGGCCCCCTCTGGCGTCGCCACTGCAATGGGAGCGGAAAATTTATATATTATAATCTATACCTACTTATGTTTATTTTTGAAGCCCAAGTTTGCGATGTGTGCGGAGCATATTTCAAGGTTAGCAGAGCACCTGCTTCGTCTACATAAGAGATTGATGTCTTTGTTAAATTGTGTGACACCTGGATTTCAAGGGTGAAAACAAATGACGTCACTCTCAAGGTCATGCGTGATGACGTCACTCTCAAGGTCACGTGTGCAGACGCATTTCAACGTCAGAGTAAATGTCTACTGCGCATGCCGAGACTCAAAGAGGGTATACTAATACTACTAGCGAACATTAATGATGCGTAATTTTAAAAGGAAAACGATGGCCGTGTTAAACGACACTATTGCTTCATAGTTTTGTTTCTCTAGTTGTAAGGTCTATATTTTTTATTTTTACTTTACTCTGTATTGATGATTTGTCCCTAACAATTTTAATTTTTCCTCTTTCATTAATAGGGAACTTGACTATTTTTTTTTTAGTTTTCAAATTGGTTCCTCAAAACGTTTGAAACTGATCTGTGCAAACAAAATTTAAATATCTTCAAAATTAACAAAGTTACAGGAATAAAAAGACTAATACTATGTGACGTCATTTAGTAGTATCGCCATAAGCCAGTGCGAGTAAGACAGACACGGCAACATCATTTTCAAAAATTCATAAAGATTGTACTTATTTTTGAATAGATTCAAAAAATTTGGCGAACATGTTCTTATTCACACCTTTCATTTTTTTGATGAAATGTAAAAATTGTTATTTCATGCAAGTTCCCTATTTGAATTTAATTTTGCGGATTTTGACTTTTTGAAGTGAAAACTTCTTTAGGCGCGGTCAGCGAAAAAAAATTTCTGGGTAGTGAATGAGATTGACCCGTCACGCCCGAATTGTTAGCGCTCATTTTTATTTCATTCTCACGCCACCATCTGGATAAATAAGAAGCAACTGATAAAAAATCTCTGGTCACATGCGTTAAGCCAAACCAGGATTTTTCCCCTTTAGTATTGTCACATTCGGGTATCAACTTTTCATAGTTTTCCCAATAACGATTGCCAGGTTTTGGTATTCACGTACTCTTTTCACATATTTTTGCCAACTTGTTCAAATTTTTTCAAATAAGGCGCTACTTATTGAGCAGTAAAACTCTATGGTTTATGCTTCCCCTGAATTTTTTTTTAGGAAACAAACACTTCATTTTTTGATAAACTATCGTTTAATTATAGTTGTTGATTTAGTAAAGGCTCAAAACATTAACATGAAATATTATGTTATAGACTAAGCTTAAGGCAAATAAAATAAAAACTTCGAAATTCTAAAAGTTGGCTATATATCCTATAACTACATAATACAGGTAATCTAGTTTCAGTAAGTAAACTCAATGAAAAGAATAAATACAATACAAAAATATCATATACCTACATAATACTATAAATTGAATACAACAATAAAGTTTGCAGCCTGCATCGGGTTTCCTGTTTTTTTTTTATTAGCGACAAATGTTTTGCAGTGGAGCCCGATCTTGCTATGATTCTCGATGTTGCATTAAAAAAATAATTTGTTTTGATGGATCATAATTCTGAACTGAGAGATTTTCTTGGGGTCTGACAATGTTCTTATTGCCTTATCGAAAATTGTCAATAATTTTAATCTCACATCACGGCCCCTGAAAAGATACACATATCGTTTAAATCATGAAATACCTAGTTACAGTAGTTACCTAGCAAGTTCAAAAAATAATAAGGCTATAGTTGACAAAAAGCAAAATACGCTCTAGTGAAGAAAATGTCACTTTTTTGTACTTGTTAGGCAAATAAATATATAAGTATAATGCTATATACATAAGCGGAGGTCAAAAATTTGATCAATTTCAAAGTTTGACCAAGCATGAGAAGTTTTTTAAGAGGCCAACAACAAGCCGTTAAAAATTGAGAAAAAGGGTTAATTTCCTGAGACGAGAACTCACTTATTTTGTAATATTTTTTGACCGGATTAGAAAATAATAAAAGATAAAAATCTAAAGAATAATGCTGTTGTTTTAGTTTTTCGAAAAAAAAATTGCAAATTGAAAATATCACGACCTAAATACTCGAAAAAAAGCATCATTTCTATCGCTCGGTACATCCAAACCCGTCGCTTTTTTAAAAAAAATGAAACAAGAGCATTGTTCTAAATTTTATTATCTTTTCGAATCTTCTTGATTCACTCAAAAATATTAAGTAGTTTTTGAGATCTCGTCTCAAATTGTAAGCCCTGCAAACACGGAAATTCAAAAATTTTGGCTGCAGCGACGTGCTGCCTCTGGCGGATTTAATTTCGCACCGGGGTAAGTAAAAATTACACGACGCGAGAGGACTGCAAGGCCAGTTATTAGTTTGTGTAAATAATTATGGTGAATATATTTCATAATGAACTCAAAACGAACAAAGATAACTTTACTAGAATTCAATAAACGAAAGAGGATATCATATAGCATAGTTAAATACAGTTAGTACGTGAAGGTTAGGAATAAAATCCATCAAAAATACAAGGTTGATTTTTTTTTCAAAAAATCTCGGATACGTCGATTTTTGATTTTAGTGGCCGTTTTTTTGATAAGAATTTCATACATTTGTCAAAACTGATATACCAACAATAAACTGACATGTTTTGATTGTTGATTTGAACCAATCAGATTGGAATTACGTGATAATTTATATTAGTGTAAATTATTGCATAGTAACTAATGCGAGAACTGGTGTTTTGACAAAAAATTTGGATTTTTGATTCATGAAATTTTCTCATAAAATACAGTGTATCCACTTAAGTTCGCAGCACATGGGAAACTTTTTTATTATCAATTTTACGAAAAAAAGTTATCCTTTATAAGAGTTTCTGCTTCTTGAAAAAATAATATCAAACTATGTATTAAAAGTTGAAATAGCATGTACAGGGTGGTCAAAAAATAGAAAAATATACAGGGTATTTCCTAAGTACGGTCCGTAACTTCAGGATGTCATTCCTTACGATATTTTAACAAAAAAAGTTCCCATAAATATGTGACCAGAAATGCGTAGTTTCTGAGATACAGGGTGTCAAAGTTTTAGAAAAAATCGTTTTTTCAGCTCAAAAATTTTTCCATTTTTTTTTTTTTTTTTAAATTTGGCAGGTTGATTTGTGATAACGAAAGGTTTCTTTTGACTGAAATATGACTTGCTTAATCTGAAAAAAATATCAAAGGTTTAAAAAAATAGTGATGTGCCATTTTTTTTCTACTTTTACCAAAAAACCCTGCATATTTTCCTATTTTTTAATCCCCCTGTACCGGGTGTTTTTTTATCTTCGATATCATTCTGATCACCTGTAACTTTTTTGTTTTTGAAGTTATCAAGGTAAACAAAAAAACAAAATGTAGGGTTAGTAGCCAAGTTTTTTTTCAAATTACACGTAAAACAAAACACTATCAACTTTTTGACATATAAGCCTACATTATATTTTTTCAAATGGAACACCCTGTATATTATATATGTGTTCGATATAATATCTTATTCTGATTACAATGATATAGCACACTTCATATTTTGGTCCACTCGTTTTTGACAAATCGGCAAAAATATGAAACTTTCGAAGTGAAACTTATTAGGCGGCGCGGTCTGATATTTGGGACGAAAATTATTGAGAGCATATAAAAATTTCATATATTTTTGCCGATTTGTCAAAAACGAGTGGAACAAAATATGAAGTGTGTTATATCATTGTAATCAGAATAATATGCTCTAACGTACACACATATAATATACCGGGTGTTCCATTTAAAAATAGTTTATTAAAATACAAGCTTCATAAGACGTGATTTTATCGCATGAGCCCTATATTAGAAAACGAGCCGGAGGCGAGATTTTTAAAGGACGAGTGCGATAAAATGTCTTATGAAACGAATATTTTATACTATTTTTTCTATTCTGGTATTGTTTAATTAAAAAAAAAACAAATTTTTCTTGGAAATTTTATTCTCATATTTCCTGATTTCATGTTTAGGTTGGTAACATTACATGCCAAATATAGAATTAAGGGCGGGTATTATAAAACTACTTTGAGAGTTAACTTAAAGTTAATTTTTGAAATTACATGTAATTCAAAAAGTTAACTTTAAGTTAACTGTCAAAGCAGTTTCATAATACTCGCCCTAAATCTTCTATAAAATCGAGAATGACAGTGCGATGGCCATCAGTCAGCCAGTGTTACCAACTTCCGATAAGTGAAAAAGGAGTGTCACAAAGAGCTTCTTTTCGAAACTACTTTTAGTGTCGAAAAGACTTCGATATGAAACCAAAATAAAAAAAATATAATGTAGGCTTATATGTCGAAAAATTGATAGTGTTTTGATGTTTTGTTTCATGTGTAACTTGAAAAAAAACTTGGCTATTAATCCTACATTTTGTTTTTTTGTTTACCTTGATATCTTTGAAAACAAAAAAGTTACAGGTGATCAAAATGATATCAAAGATAAAAGAACACCCGGTACATGCTATTCTAAGTTTTAATAGTTTAATACTATATATTTTTTCAAGAAGCAGAAACTTTCATAAACAATAACTTTTTTTTGTAAAATTGATAATAAAAAAGTTTCCCATATGTTGCGAACTGAAGCGGAAACACTGTACAGGGTGGCCCGTTTAAGAGGGGCCTATACCTTATCTCGAAATCTACAAGGGTTGCAAAAAAAAATTAAATACAAAAGTTGTTTCTAATAAAATTATCTACATTTTTTTTTCATTGTTTTTGTTGTTACTGTACTATATACAGGGTGGAGAGATAAAATTTAATTTTTTTAAATGGAACACCCTATATCGTAATACACTTTTACATAACCCTTTGAAAGACAAATCCAACGATATACTGGACATGTGTCTGTGATAAACCGTTTCGAACTTATTAGCGATTATCTTCTGGGATTCACACATTGAACAGGCATTGTTACGTTACTCATAAACTTTTGAAACTTTTTTTTTGCGTGATATTTTTTATAAAATGATGCTCTTTTTTAGACTATACTGAAATTTAGCAAAATGTTACGCTTTTCATTTTTTTTTAAATGGGACATCCTGTAAATTTTCGAATTTTTGGATAGCCTTTTAAAATACAAATTCAACGATATACTGGACATGGGTCTGTGATGCACCCATTTTGGCCTGATTGGCGATTATCTTCAGTTCTAGCACAATATTTCATGTCATCCCTGATGAATAAAAAACAATGTCCAATTTTGCATTAGATTAGATGAAATAGTGCTTTTTATTATTATTATTTATTCAAAAAGTAGTCAAAGTTTCTCCCCATTATTAAAATAAAAAAGGCGAGAAATTTGGATAAAAACAAAAAATGAAACGTGACGCTCTGTTGCTATATTTGTCAGATCAACCTAATTACGTGTTAAATGCGATAACACATTTACAAGTAAGATATATTACCTGTATTGTTGAAAATGGCGGACACAGAGAATTTAATTAAATTAATTTTTTCTACAAACGTGTTAAAAATGCAATTTTTAACACTCCCCCGAAGCATTAAAAATGTTACTTTATCGCACTAGTGCCATAAAGTCTTTATAGCACTAGTGTTAAAAATGAAACATCAAATTTTGAGAGCGAACGTCAAAAAAAGTTTGTATTTTTAGTTATTTACATTGATAATAATGGTGAAATTTGAACAACTGTGGTAGCCCGACTAGCCGCCTCATCTATATTTTTCAAGGGATCGATGCAGCCCTCTTTTTTTTCTGTATTTTGTTACATTTTTAGCAAAAAGCATTACTGACCACGACATACTTTCAAGAAACTGACAAGACATTTCATTACCCGTAAAACAAGGTGCTGGTTATTTGGCTTTTTTGACAAATGTCAAATTCAATAATTTTATGTAGGAAAGATGCTAAAAATCCAATTTTTTACTGGTTATTGCTTTTTATTGCCGTTTGTAGAAAAAATAGTGTATGATATTTATGTTAAAAGTATTTTTAAGGCACTTATGTGAATTGCAGAATTCGCTTCGCTCATTCTGCAAACTTTCACATGCGTGCCTTAAAAATGTACTTTTAACACTTATATCATAAATAACTATTATAGTTAGCCTGAAGTTGAAGTTCTCAAAATGTTTGTTCATATAATCTTAATCAGTAACCTTTATTTTGGACTTTATAATTCAATGCTTTCCTTGTTTACTGCAACTATAGTTTATTGCAGTAGGTATTATTAAATAATTTACGAAATATTTGTTTATTATCATTTGTTCGAAGAGTAGTCAAAGTTTCTCCCCATTATTAAGGCGAGAAACTAATGAAAACAAAAACTTAAACGTCTTTTCTTAACTACTTCTGAATGAATAATAATAATAAAGAGCACTATTTCAGCTAATCTACTGCAAAATTAGACATTTTCTTTATTCAACAGGGATGACATAAAATATGGTGCTAGAACTGAAGATAATCGCCAATAAGGCCGAAACGGTGCATCACAAACCCATTTCCAGTATATCGTTGAATTTGTATTTTAAAGGGCTATCCAAAAATTCGAAAATTTACAGGAGGTCCCATTTAAAAAAATTGAAAAGCGTAACATTTTGCGAAACGTGGCAACACGGCGTTTTTTGAACAAATATTCCAAATTTCAAAATAGTCTAAAGAAGAGC